TTTTTTTTTTTTTTTTTTTTTTGTTTTTTCTTTTTTTAATAAGAAACAATTTCATAGATGGTATGAAATTACAGAAGAAAGAGGAAAAAGTCCACTCTCCCAAGGAGTTACAAAAGGCCTCTCCAATTGGATAAAAGAGAAGATAAACTATGATCATGAAAAATAGGAGTGGATTCACACCAAGCAATTGTCAAATATATAATAGCATCAAAAAAATCCTATCAAAAGAGGGCTCCTTATCTTAAAAAATAAAAATAAAAAATTGCCTCCTTTCTAGCCAAGTTTCCTAAAGAAAACCAGAAAAAAATGTAGCCACAGTAAAAAAATAATAATAATAATACATAATTTTTTCTTTTTAGTCTTACTAACAGAGGTATTTTATTTCAAGAAAAGAAAACAAAAGTTACATATTTTATTCCTAGAAAATGAATAGTGGAGAGAACGCATCATTTTTCTGGCCCTAGTTAACTAAATGCAACTTTTTTAAAGAAAAGAAAAATAAATACTTATTTGAAAAGTTCATGGATCAAATAATTGACTAACACTAACCTTTAAATTTGGTACCAAGATTTTTTCTTTTTTTCTTTTTTTCTNTTTTTTTTTTTTTTTTTTTTTTTTTTTTTTTTTTTTTTTTTGTTGTATAAAAGAAACAAACCTCTTCTTGATATTTGAAAAAGCTCCATCAGTGTTCAAGAACAAGAAGTTCTTTAGACACATTAAAATCTCTGCTCACACTGGAAATTCAAAAGACCAAAATTTAATTACAAAAAGGCCCTTCAGCATATCACTGTGGCTATTGCTTCTGTTTGAGACATGGCTTGACAGGAATACACATTTTTTAAAAATAAGAGTGGAGATGAGGAGTGTAGTTATTTTAGCTTCTAGATGTGAGCCATTATTTTTCCTACAAGCCTTAATGACATAATCATTGAGATTTTATGCGTTCGTTTATATATATAGATACGTATGTAAACTAATGGGCGAGCTATCTTCTAAATCTTTTTCTTTATTTTCTGAAGGATGTCACAATCTCCCTCCTATATTTTTTGGGTTTTTAAATACAATTTGTTTCTTTCAGGGTCCGTAGGAACTAGAGCCCTCAAGCAGCTGCAGTAGAATCCACTTCAGCTACTTTCTTGGTACAGTACAGTATGTCAAGAACATCACTAAATTTTAACTAACCTGCCAAACTAGCTGAGGGAGCAAAAGTTCAGGACGTGGGCTTCCTCTTGGTCTTTCAATAAAAGTAATTCGCTGATCATTTGCAGCATCATACACCTTTACGCCAGCATCATTTGCCCAAGCAATAAGGCTTGTTCTCCATTTTACTGCGTGTATTGGACCCTCACCAGAATGCAAGACCTACAATGCAAGCAAACTTAGCAATGAGAAACTAGTCATCTGATACAAGGAATATTTCTCAACTAGTGTGGCAAATAAAATGTTAAGAACCTGATCTTTATATCCTAGCCATTTCTTTGAATTTAAATACAAATGGCCCGCTAGACCACCTGCTGCAAATCTCCTAGAAGTTTTCTTCTCATAATCTGGGTCCAATGCAATTGCCTTCATCGGACGATGATACTCAAACCTCATTCTCTCATCAGTGAACAGACTATTTATTACAACCGAACCATCATCCGAACAACTGCCTACATATTCACCTTCTGTATCAAAGCTAAGATCGTTGACTATGGCAGTATGAGCACTAAATTCCTTAACCTGGAAAAACAAAATCGAGTACACACATCACAGGATTAGCATGTGAAGCAAAAAATCCGACGGTTATCGATGAAAACGTTCCACGCTAATACCTAATGAAAAGTATAATCATGGGAACTAGTAAACCACAAGATGTCATAGTTTGACCATCGATACATTTTGTTCACTACCACAAAGTACAGTCTGATTAAGATTATTTGGGAAGCAACGCATATAGATAGGAATAGGATACATGGAAAACCCGCAGCTCAGGTCTGCAAATTAGCAACTCATCTGATAGCGCGAAATTGAGGCAGATTCAAATACTTCGAAAGAGCTATCATAATCTCAAATTTTACAAGAACTTGAGCCAATTGCACAACCAATTTCCAAAAAGAAAATAAGAAGAAGAAGAAGAAACGCATTTCAGCACAGATTCAAACAAAAGAAGCCAACCTGATTCCCGAGAAAGTCAAGAATATGAACGGTGCCGGCGTGAGTCCCAAGTGCGATCATCCTCTCCGCAACGGCAAGGCACGAGGCGGCATCTCTAGCCAGCAAAGATGATACGCTTCCTCCCATTCTCTGATACTTGAGTTTCGGCTCCTCCTCGTCGTCCGCCATGTCTTCTTCCTCTTCCTCCTCTTCCTCCTCCTCCTCCTCCTCCTCCTCCTCCTCCTCCCTCTCGTCGTCTCCTTCTACGCCATTTTCCGACAGAATCGGAGCCATTGTGATGCACGCCGGATTCAGATTCTCGCAGCTCGTCAGCGAAGAAAAGGTGGAGCAAAGTAGGGAGATGAATTATGGGAGTAACAAAAGGTAGTTCCCACCTTCATCAATTTATTTGATCTTTGTTTAGTTACATTATCATGAGTTGCCTGTGTCCAAATCAAGACCAAAATCGTACCGAACTAAACATTCAGTTTTCATGGATTCGTGTTTTCAGGTCTTTTACGCAATAGGAATTATCCAAAATTAATCAAAATAAAAAAATTAATATATATATCAAAAATATTCTTAAAAAAAAGTTAAAATAGCTTTGGATGAAAATTTTTATATAACTTTTCAAAAATATCATTAAATATAAAACTTTTTAAAAATTATTTTCAAATTTTTTAATGTAATTTTTTAAAGTTTATTAGTATTTATGAAACCGTGTACCAACGGATTTATAGCAAAATGGATAAGGTTGGGTGTCTTATTCTAATAATACTAATAATATAATTGTTACAAATAATTTAATCCAAATCCTTGCAAAGATATATTAGTTGGGATATCTTATATAATAAGTTTGTATAAGATTATACCACGAAATATTTAATATCATTTATAAATCTGTTAATTAAGAAAATTAATATTTAACATGAGAATCATATGCGACTCAATCTTGACCATAAGTGAGTTATGTACTATTGTATGTGAAGGCTCGTGAATGGTCTTTGTAGCTAATTCAATATGTCTACCATTACAGGGACTTGGGAACTTAATTTCATTAGATGAAATTCTCTCATTCCTGTATAGGGTAAGTAAATGAGTTATTTTCTGCTATTTTGAGACTTTAATAATGAGACCCCACCGTCTTACTTGCCCGAGCGAAACTTAGTTTATGATTAGACCATAAACAAATCTTTCATTAGAGAGTCAGTAATACGTAAGAGGACGAAATATACAGTTACAAGGGTAAAACAAACTTTTGATCCAACTATAATTACAAACAACTCGTGAAAGATCGCTTGCTTATAATGATATCATATCAATGGATACAATTTGTCTCATAGTATATGCGACCATAATTTGTAAATCTATAAGGTCCCTTGTTTGCTCGTAATAATATTAAAATATTCAATTTAATTGAAAAATGGTTTGAAATACTCACATTATTTTTAACTTAATTATATTAAAAATAAAAGAGAAAATATATTTATATATATTAAATATAAATAGAGAAAAATATATTTAATTTGAAGGGTTGAAATTAGTATCGGTTATAGAATCCATTATTGCTATAAAAAAATATATAAAAACCTTTGAGGTCGTAAATGCTAAAATTCTCAAATGAAGTTGATTTCGTTCCAAATAATTGCAACTTTTGGGAATTTAATTCAACAATTTATTGTAAAATAAAATATTTAGATCTAAAATATTAAAAAACATAAAAACAACGGAATCGTCTAAGGAAAATTAAGATCTAGATTATCTTGTTTGGGATTCACGTCACTCCACAAACAAGATAGATCATGTCAAACTCGAATAATTCTAAGTATGCAATCTAAACCAGATCGAATTACAACTAGCACGTGTCTAAAAGAAAACCCAATTACCCTACTTTATAAAAACAACATACATGGCTTTATATAGCATAAAAATAAAACTCTTGACCTTCCTCGAGACATTTTAAGAGTTGTAATATTTTAATTTTATGACCATAATTAGTTGCTATATACATATAACTTAAAGTAAATAAAAAGTCTTAAAATACATTAATAGAACACCACTGTACACTATCATTTACTCAAAACTTATCCCCATCTAATGAGGTTTAATTTTTCTTTAATGCAACGTGTAACTTGAATTTATTTTGTGATAATTTGAATAACATTTTTTTTTCAATATTTCTTGAGATTGACGTTACATGATTGAGATTTATTGGTTCATATCACCAACGATATTCAAGGACAAAGATTTTTTAAAGGTGGAGAATCTGTAACGCCCTATTCCAAAAATTTCCTCCCTCATCCCCACTCCATTTGAAGCTAATAGAGATGTAGCGAGCCCATGGAGACCTGCCCCCGGGGATTCCCATTTAGACAGAGAATGAGAGAGAACGAGATGGTGTAGGGAACATTTTCTACCCATCACCCGTTTAATATAAATATATTGTCAACACATATTAATATATATATTAAAAAAATAAATTAGTTAATTTTGAAATCTAATTATAATATTTACATTATTGTAAATTTTTTTAATGGTTAAAGCTATCCAATAATATAAAATTAGATTTAAATATATATATATATTATTAAGATTTTTTTACCATTTTTTATAAATATTATATTAAAAAGTGAAAAACTGGATCAAATTAAGATTACAACACTTTTAATAAATTTAAATTTAAGATATAATTTGATAAAATTAGGATGTAAATATTGATTCATCACCCTTTCTAAAATTAAAATGAAAAGAAACTAAAGAGGAAGGAAACCCTCGTATACATCTCAATCTTTCATCCTTCGCCGATTACCCTCACCCATTCCAGTCGACGGTCGACGCGAAACCCCCGCTACGACCTCCAGAGTGTGGCGACCCACGAAGCCTTCGGGCGACTTGCTACCTACGCGCAGTAGAGGTGGACTCGAGCAGCTTTTCTCCGGCGTCACCCATCCTCATACGCGTGTGTTCTGTTCTGCAATCAAGGCATCGCGGCACGGTGTTGGTTACTCACGAGAAGTGGCGAGTACAGCCACGAGCAAGGGCGCCTAGCCTAGACTCACGAGCAACGGTTTCTGTTTTTTTTTTCCTTCAGCCTATAAACCGTGTCGTTGGTGAGATCGCGCCGCTGCTGCTCATTTTCCAGATCCCCAAGGTTTTATCTTATTTTAATTTCTGTTTGTGTTGTTGGTTTATTCTCTTCACACATGGAGTAGAAAATTAAGACAATTTGGAAACCCTGGTTGGAAGACATACCTGCTTACACTCAATTAAGTTTTAGAGACAAATAAATCAATTGGTTGAGGCACTAAATTGAAGTAATCATGAAAGTTGGAACCAAAATAGGATAGAAACGAATCCTGTTCGTATCCATATTTTAAAAAATAAGACGTTGAGAATTTATGATTGAGCCTTTTAGGGGTAATTGCAGTGGTAACAGTTTTGTGTTTTGTTGAATAGCCAAGATGGTATGCTTGGAAATTTTCACTCCCTCTATCATTGACCACAAATTTTAACGTACATTTGGATTCTGTTTCTTGGATTTTCTCTTTGTATTTGAAAATTGGATGATCCACTTTTCTGTTGTTGTTGCTATAACTTTTTTTTTCTTTAATTTTTTTTACAGGGAAGAAGGCTCCTTCTCTGTAGGAGACATAATGTCTTCATCCAAAGATGCGGATCCAACCCTGGGCTACCTCACTCGAAAGGATGCAGAGGTGAAGTTGCCGCGACCCACTAGGGTGAAGAACAAGACTCCTGCTCCAATTCAGATTACTGCAGAGCAGATACTTCGCGAGGCTCGGGAACGGCAGGAGGCAGAAATTAGACCACCCAAGCAGAAAATTACAGATCCGACTGAACTAGCTGATTATCGTCTTCGCAAGCGGAAGGAGTTTGAAGACCTTATACGCCGTGTCAGGTGGAACGTTAGTGTTTGGATCAAATATGCTCAGTGGGAAGAGTCTCAGAAGGACTTCAATAGGGCTCGTTCTGTTTGGGAGCGTGCCCTTGAGGTCGATTATCGAAACCATACCCTTTGGCTCAAGTATGCAGAGGTTGAGATGAAGAATAAATTTATCAATCATGCAAGGAATGTCTGGGATAGAGCAGTTACCCTCTTGCCTAGAGTGGACCAACTATGGTACAAGTACATTCATATGGAGGAAATGTTGGGTAATGTTGCTGGTGCAAGGCAGGTTTTTGAGAGGTGGATGGGCTGGATGCCGGACCAGCAAGGTTGGCTCTCATACATCAAGTTTGAGTTGAGGTACAATGAGGTTGAACGTGCCCGAGGCATATTTGAACGCTTTGTTCAGTGCCACCCCAAAGTTGGGGCATGGATACGATTTGCCAAATTCGAGATGAAAAATGGGGAAATTGGAAAAGCAAGAAATGTTTATGAGAGAGCTGTTGAGAAATTAGCTGATGATGAAGAGGCAGAGCAACTGTTTGTTGCTTTTGCTGAATTTGAGGAGAGGTGTAAGGAAACGGAACGGGCACGATGTATATATAAATTTTCCCTAGATCATATCCCCAAAGGTAGGGCTGAGGATCTCTACAGGAAGTTTGTGGCATTTGAGAAGCAATACGGTGATAAGGAAGGAATAGAAGATGCTATAGTGGGGAAGAGGAGATTTCAATATGAAGAGGAAGTGAGGAAGAATCCCCTAAATTATGATTCTTGGTTTGATTATATAAGATTGGAGGAGACTGCAGGGAACAAGGAGAGGATCAGGGAAGTGTATGAAAGAGCAATATCCAATGTTCCTCCAGCTGAAGAGAAACGGTACTGGCAGCGTTATATTTATTTATGGTAAGGACGTCATGAAAGGCATTCTATGTTTATCTTCTCCAATTTGGTTTTGAGCACCCATATTTTACAAATATTTGCTAACTGTTTGTTTCTATCCAATTTAGGATCAATTATGCACTATATGAAGAACTGGATGCTGCAGATGTCGAGCGTACCCGTGATGTGTATAGGTATGTCAAATTTTTGTGGCGTCAATTTATGAAAAATTCTAAGATGATGTTTATTTACGAAGTGGAACACTCGTTGAGAATGAAGGAAAGAGAATCTCTAAGATGATGTTATCATCTATAGTTGTTCTTCTGGTACCGTGGGATATCTGAAACTGTAATATATTGCTATAACTATTTGATTATAATAAATTGCTATAACTTGTAATTGATTTTAGATTTTATTCATTTCATCTAAGCCTGTATGATTGCGTTTGTCTTTTAATGTCTTTGACTAGTAATATCTGCATATGGAATGTCGATTTAAAATCTCTGTTATTTTTCAACTTTTGCTTGTAATAGCAGTTTGAATCCACCCATGTTCACGGAAATTCTCGATGACTTGTATCAAGGGGGAAATTTTTAAAACGATAAAGTTTCCTTTTGCTGTCTATGACCTAAAATTCACATTCCCGTCCAAGATATGCTGAATCTTATCATTTTCAAAACGATA